AGTACGGATTTTCTATAATTTTCTAACTATTTTCTAAGTTTATATTTATATATATACTATGTTTGGGATACGGTGATTGATGGACTCATGCGGCGATATCGGGACATATGAATAAATAACCATCCGTACTAGTTGACCTTGCTTACGTGATATCTCGGCGTGAGCATTTCTCCACCGGACGACACCGTACTTGGTCCAAGGAAGAGCTCCGATTCTATGAGAAAGGGAACACGGTCTTCCCGACCGTTGCCGCTCTCCCTCGTAGAATCAAAGCTCCTCCTTGACGTCCGTTACCGCTCGGCAGAGAACATGCTCGCCGAGATGAACACGGTCCGCAAGTTCAACTAGCTACTTTAACCTTCTTTCATGTAAATATGCAAGCTTGAAGTGATTTTGAGCTCAAATTGCTTACAAATGAAAAAAACCACAATAAAGAACAATATATATATATAGTGAACAAAATGAGATAAGACAATTATGAAAAATGAGAGTATGAGATTGGTAACCTTTACAACTGAAGAATCGGTGGAGGAATCGAAGAAATCGACGGAGGAATCGAAGAATGGATGGAGGAACAATGGAGGGAGGGAGGAAGCAAGAACACTAGTGCAGTGAGCTTCAAAATGTGCTGAACTCGGGCTCGGGGAGGAAGAAGGAGATGGCCGGGATATAAAGGGGGACCTTTAGTCCCGGTTGGTGGCTCCAACCGGGACTAAAGGTAACTTTTCAACCCCGGGCGCAGCCACGGCCCGGGAGTAGACCTTTACTCCCGGTTGGAGCCACCAACCGGGAGTAAAATTATACCTTTAGTCCTGGTTGGTGGCTCCAACCGGGACTAAAGGTCCCTGCCACCTCTGCGTGGCGCAGTAGCCGTTGGGCAGGGACGTTTAGTCCCGGTTGGAGCAATCAACCGGGACTAAAGGTATCTCTAGTCCCGGGAGCAAAAAATGCTGGGACTAGAGCCCATTTTGGCCGAGGATCAAAGGTCTGTTCTCTACTAGTGGTAGTTCCTATAACAAATAAAATAAAACACTTGAACTTTCACAAACATGCAAGTGGTCTAGTGGTAGTGTGGGTGGTGTTGTCCTTTTTGTGGTGGCAGCAAGGTTCCAGGTTCAAATCTTGGTGGTTACCTTATTTCTATTTTTCTTGTGATTTTTTATACGCCATGCTAAAGATTAGTATATGTGAACTTCAAACAAAGTTTTACGATAGTAACGGATTTCAAATGAAAAGTCATCAACTCAACTTCAGTTTTGGTCATTTCTCCATACGAGTTCGTTTTCGTTTGTATTGCAAAGTGTCGCCAACAACATTGCATTGCAATGAACAAATTGGTTGTCGACAGAATATCGTCGGCAGTCCACCGAGGGGTATCCCGCGATGGTAGATTTGTCGGTGCAGGTGCGCGGAATCAGGAACCGGATGGTGACACAAGGCGCACATACAGCGATTTAGATAGGTTCGGGCCGTCTAATCGACGTAATACCCTACGTCCTGTGTCTTTGGTGTATTGTATTGGATATGGGATGTATGGAGTGTCCACTAGGGGACCCCTGCCTCTCCTTATATACTCTAGAGGGGTAGGGTTACAAGTAAAGTAGCCTATTTGGTACTATACAATATCTTACTGTGCACGCCGAGCAGCGCCGTGCATGCCTTGATCTTGTGGGCTAGGCCACCTTTGATGGTGCGGCCCATGTCTTGTCTTATGGATACCGGGGGTCATACCCCCACAGCTAGTCCCCGAGCCTGACAGTAGGTGATGTAGTCACGTGGTGCTAGGGTCAGAAAGCAGAAAGACCAGCCGAGTAGGCAGCCAGTCCCCGGGCGTAGCCTCGAGATGAGAAAAGCGCACATTCACCGCAAGGTGAAGTGTGCCTACTTAGTCCCCGAGCCTGATGAAAGATGAAGAATAAATCTTGTAGCAGGGTCAAAGAAAAAGAAATCTGAAAGCTTGCCGACGTCGTCTGACATGCGCGTATCAAGACCCTAGACGTGCTGCCCAAGATCAGCACCCTGACCCGAACAGCATGGAGCGGCTTGATAGCACACCGATGAGACGTAGCAAGATCCGAGCAGCAAGGAAGTCCCCGGCGTAGCTGGCGACGTCCGAGCACCGAGGAGTCCCCGACGTAGCTGGCGATGTTCGAGCACCGAGGAGCGAGAAGTCCCCAGCGTCGCTGGCGATGTCCGAGCACCGAGGAGCGAGGAGTCCCCGGCGTCCCTGGCGATGTCCGAGCACCGAAGAGCGAGGAGTCCCCGACATCGCTGGCGATGTCCGAGCACCGAAGAGCGAGGAGTCCCTAGCGTCACTGGCGATGTCCAAGCACCGAGGAGCGAGGAGTCCCCAGCGTCGCTGGCGATGTCCGAGCACCGAGGAGTCCCCGGCGTAGGCGGCGATGTCCAAGCACCGAGGAGTTCCCGGCGTAGCTGGCGATGTCCGAGCACCGAGGACATCCCGACGTAGCTGGCGATGTTCACAAGGTGAAGTGGGGCGAAGTGTGCCCACTTAGTCCTTGATCACGAAGAATCCGAGGGCCGAGGAGTAACTAACGTAGCTGGCGATGAAGCATGAGCGACGAACAGTCTGGTCAACTGATCAGCGACGAAGTGAGCTTTGAGTAGAAGTGACCGGCGAACAGTCCGATCAACTAACCGGCGATGAAGTCCATGAACCAAACGGTCCGACCAGTTGATCGGTGGAGAAATCCGAGCACCAGGTGGTCCGATCACCTGGGCGATGATCCTGCAATACAAATATATAGAACGGGTAGTACATGATGTGTAAATAAATAAACTACAGAGAAAAATCAGCAATGGTGATGAAACGCGCGTATATAGTTCGGCGATCGGTTGGCGTGAAGATATATTTATATTCAATATAAACCGCCCGAACAGTTAGTGTGTAGCTGAGTCTTCAGCCCTAGCTAGCCCGTTAACCATAACATAGGGCGCGGAGCCCGTGCACGTGTAGGAAGAACAGGCGTGACTAAGGAGCCACTACCGACCACCCATAACGCAGAGCGCGGAGCCCATAACACGTGTAGGGAGGAGCCAGAGACAGGGCCGTCTCTGGAGGGATCCGAGCATCAACATGACTGTTCAGGGGTTCGGAAAATCGTTTGGAGAGCGAATATGGAGAAAATAATTCGGAGAAAGATTATGACGATATACGGAGATCGGAGAATATTTAGGAGAATATTAAAACGTAACTTAGCTTTACATAGAAAGTCTGGTCGACGACGTATGGTGTTGACGGCAAGCACCTGGCGGACGGTGAGTTGTTGGCTGGAACGGAATTGATCTAATGTTGAAGTAGGACGGACGTAGTCGGAGCTTGGCAGTGTCGGTCCGCGTACGAAGACGTGCAGTCGATCTGGAGTCGTGGCCGTGCGCAGTCGGCCGCTGGCAACAACTTCATTCGTGTCAGGATATGGCTTCAACTCGAGTTGGTGATGCTTTTCGTCTTCTGCATGGAGTCGACGCGTAGTATTGATCGGATCTTTTGAATCTGGTCGTAGTCGTAGGGACAGTTCTGTGCATGTATACACACATACATGAGCACATGCAAGTCAATTTGCATGGCCGATGCTTATTGCCTCCGTCGGTGATTGCCCAGGCCCCTTCCTTGGCCGCACGCTTGTATGCGTGGTGCTGTAGATGCACGTGGTCGTCGCTGTTGCAAGATTGGATCAAATCCAAAACCGATGCTTGTTGAAGCGATCAGTCACGGGAACCTTCCTTTTCTTTTGTCGATCTCATGATTCGGTGTTGACTTCGGAAACAATCCAGGAGAGCCGGGATTTGATCGGTCAAGCCGCGGGTTGCCGCCGTAGTAGATTGATTCCGTCGCCGAGTGATATCGAGCCTGTCAGGCTACCGAAGTACGCCGCCGCAGGAAGTCAGGTTGCCACGAGCGGCATCGATCTTGAGATCCCATCTGGCCCGCCATGGATCAAGCGCACACCCCTACCTAGCACGCCAACTGTCGACAGAATATCGTCGGCAGTCCACTGAGGGGTATCCCGCGATGATAGATTTATCGGTGGAGGTGCACGTAATCAGGAACCGGATGGTGACACAAGGCGCAGAGACAGCGATTTAGACAGGTTCGGGCCGTCTGATCGACGTAATACCCTACGTCATGTGTCTTTGGTGTATTGTATTGAATATGGGATGTATGGATCATCCACTAGGGGACCCCTGCCTCTCCTTATATACTCTGGAGAGATAGGGTTACAAGTAAAGTAGCCTATTTTGTACTATACAATATCTTACGGTGCACGCCGAGCAGCGCCATGCACGCCTTGATCTTGTGGGCTAGGCCACCTCTGATGGTGCGGCCCATGTCTTGTCTCGTGGATACCGGGGGCCATACCCCCACATTGGTCTATCGCAACACTAAAAAACCGTGGCAATAGCAACATGATATTGCGTCAGTTTTGGATAGTAGTTGAAATACATACCTAACAATTGCAACACCATAGAAGATTATTACAACCCCAAAAAGCCATTGCAATAGGAACATGCTATTGCATCCATTAAAAATTCTTGTTGCAATAACCACCTAGCAATTGCAACACCACTAAAGATTATTGCAACCAGAACAACCATGGCAATAGTTACAAGCAAAAGCAACCAAATCCAATGTAGTTGCAATAACACCAAGTATTTGCAACGAAAATCAACACTAATGCAATTCCAAAGCGTCATAGCAATAATGCCAACTAATTGCAACATAATTCTAAAATGGTTGCAGTAGCACACGCCTGTTGCAACGACAAGCCACACATATTGCAACACATTTAGTTCGTTGCATTTTAGGCACATATTGCAACCATTATAAAAAAAGGTTGCAATACAACCCCTCTATGGCAACCAAATTAGTGGTGTTGCAATCGTGTGGCGTGGCATTAGAGGTGAATCCTTGTAGTGTGAGGTTACCACCTCTATTTTCTGGCATTTTCAGATCAAATCAAGATTCAGATGAACTAAACTCAAGAATCCTTCCAATTTAGGAGACCAGAGACCTCACTCGACGCCGCTGATGAAGTCATCTCCGTGGCCAGGTCCATCGCCTTCAAAGGTGCTTTGGCGACCTCCCTGACGCCGAGGGGTGCTGGCGGCGTCGCCGCCGCTGTCGGTGGACCCCAAGCAGCACTGCAGCGCCGGCGTCCAGGACCCTCGAGCCCGCGCTGCGGAGCCTCCGTGCAGGCCCCTGCTGGTGACGGTGGCCGAGAAGACGCGAAGCGCAGGGTCCCTGCTGGCGACGGCAGTGTTTAAGACGTGAAGAAGTTCCGAAGAGGGAGGAAGGTGACTCTAGCCCTCCCGTGCCTACGCGCCTTCATTGCCTGAGACATGAGGCCGCTTGCTCGTCACTCTTGCGAGCCAGGCTCCAGAAAAACGGATCTCAAATCTGTTTTTTTTTTTTGAGCAAAATCTCAAATTTGTTTATGCACAACTAGGGCGGAGGGTGCTTTTTGCATGAGTAGTGGAAGCCTAGCCCAAGACTCAGCCCAACCATCCAAGCATTCGCAAGCTGCATCCACGGAGCCAGGTCCGTCCGGTTTCTCTCAACCAAGTTTTTGACTACCAAATGAAGTACTACATGCATAAACATACTGCAAGTCTGTAACAAATATGCTTGGTAATGTTAATCCTCACCTTAGCTCTGATCCTGCAGCACGTCAAGGATGCATGCACTGTACAAGCCATGCATGTTTACTTCTGCCTTTTTCACTGTTAAGCTGACTCAGCTGTCCAGCCAATAACGGCCATCGATCCTTCCATCCATGGAGTAGATGGAACGTTCAAGGAAATGCAGAGGCAGCTTCCGCGGCCCCCGACCGTGTGTGCCAAGCTAGGATGCCACAACAAATGATAAGGACAAGGACTTAGCTGCACTGCTCTACAATCTGAAAGCGCGATGACTTGCATGTGCTGTCTGCGCATTACTGTCTGGTGTCTGCCACAAGCCAATGCTAAAGCTGAGAAAGGGGTGGGCAGGGGAAAGCGACCAAGGCGCCGAGGGAGACGGACTGACGGTATGAGCCCACGCTAAAGCTGAACGGGCCGGGCCATAAAGTCAGGCCGGGAAGATATATACGCACGGGTACAAACGGAATTGGACCGTATATAGTAGCGCCATAATTAGCCGAATCCACGCAGGATATATATAGTATAGGTTTACATATATATATGTACTAGTTGGTAGCACAATTGTATAGTTTTATTTCTCAGGCAGAAGACATGTGCGTATTACATATGATGGAGCGAGTAGTACCATATTACAAATGATCGAAATACTAGACACCACTCTACCTTAACATACACCACACTACCTTAAGTTGCAGGGCAATGCAAGCACAAATAAAAGTGACCTAGCTAGTTACCTCCTGCTACTTGTCCTTGTTCTTGCTCGATCGCGTATTGTACCTTTTCCTGGTTCTGGGCACACCTGCTGTTTCCACGCTCCCCTTTTCCACAGTAAACGATGCAGCACCATGTAGAGAGGCCCACTCTATTCTGTATACCCTCTGCTCTGGCTGACGTGAGAAACAGTTTATTGCGTTTGACTTTATTGTCTCGGCCAATTCCTGTACGCTGACATCATTTATAAACTTCTCAACATCGTCTCCGATACTCTCTACTGCATAAGTGTAATTAATGGTTTTATCCGTCGGCCGCCTTTCCCATATATCAATAAAGTACTCCATCAACCCCACCCAATAAAGAATAAATAAAGAATGGGGACCGAAGATAATTCTCGCTCGCAGAGGTGGCTTCCAACCTCTGCCCACCTCATCAAATGAGCTACGCGTGCTGGACTCTAGTGCTGGTATATAGCAGTCAAAACCCCAAAGAATAACTTGCTCTGGGAGTATGTCCGATAACTCTGAGGAGACGTTGTTGTTGTTAGCACAAAGTCCTTTGCAACATGTTGGGTCTGGGCGAAGAAGTTGTGTCTGCATCGTATAAATCACTTCACAACAGCGCACCAACGGAGTTCCAGACAAATCGGCAGTGTCTTGTAAATTACGCAGTAGGGTAAGTTCTCCCATTGCACATTCAACAGGATGCTTGAATTCAGCTGTCAATAATTGCAAGCCTTTAATAGCAACTCCAACTATGTCTGTGCTTTCTGATAGTCGTAGGGACAACACCAGATTAAAACATTTCTCTATCATTGTGCTATCCATGTAAGAGTATACTAGCTGTGCCTCCACGCCACGCTCATCGAAATACATGGGGAATATGCGGACTTTTCGTTGCACATTTCCTTGCTTCAAGTCATACCAGAAAGTTTTACCTTCAAGGAGATGCCTGACAATAGGGTTGCAAAAGGTGTTGTGATGAAGTGAACACCCAGACTCCACGTCCCTCACAAACCTGCCAGCATGATCTGCGTACCATTCAAATCTTTTTACAGCATCTGTGCTCAAGGCAACAAAAGGTTTCAAGGACATGTTCTTAGCACAATCAAACCATCGCTTGCGCTTTACCCCTTGAGCAACCTGGAGTTCCTGCCCTGGAGGCACCGCCTGCTGCTTGTCCTTCTTGAGCAGCTCCATGGCCTCAACGTAGCCACGCTTGATCATCTTCCTGCGCTGAAGCAGGGAGACATCTGTGATGGGCAGCTTTGCTGACCTCTCAAGCGCAAGCTCCAGCTCGTTGGCTGCCATCTCCAACCTCTCCTTCAAGTGGCCTTGGGATGCCTTCTCCTCCCGCCAGCCCAACACAAAGGAGACGCCTCTGCTCACGGCCTCCTGAACAAGGGCTGAACGTAACATTTCGGCCACGAGGTCGCTGTGGGAATTCCACCAACCTGCTGATGAATACATGCATCTTGGGTTAGTTAGTTTCGTACTTTAGTTTTTGACTCCCACAAGCAAGTCTGTAACAAATGCTTGGGTTATAACTGATGCATGCGTGGAATACATATGCTTAATGTTAATCCTTACCTTAGCTCTGATCCTCTAGATCTTGCAGTTCGCACCAACAGATGGAATGAAGGGGTTCGGAGTGGGATATATATATCAGGAACAGATCAAACAAGAGGTGCACACACTGCTGTTGTAGTGTTTCTTAGTATTACTGAGTCGGCGAGCTGTCACTGTCTATCGCTATGTGTCTATATATATAGAGAGAGGGAGGAGAGATGAGAAGCAAAATTGTACAGTAGTGTGAAACTGCAGAAACATGTCCTGCTGGAAAAGTAAAGGGAGCGCTGAGGATGCTTCTTAGCAACTTCCTTCTCCTTGCAGTATACAATAATCATGCATTATTAGTTGTAAGTACGTGTGTGGTCCAAAACAATGGACCTTCTCTGCACCTTCAGAAAGCATGCAATGACTTGCAAGTCTTCTTTGGTCTAAGTCGTCGCCTCACCATGCATTATTAAATGTAGTTCGTGCGTGGTCCGCACATGCATGCAGAATTGCAATTTGGACTACCTTTGGTATGCAGTGTCCTGTGTCCACTTCGACGTCGTTCCACTCCTTATCCAAATAAAAAAAAAACGCCACATAGAAATGCTGCTCTGATCTGTATATGATGGTTGCTCTGTGGTATGCTGGGAAAGATCATTATCAAATGTTAATGCATCAACTCAAAAAGATTTGAAAAACTTGTGTACAAGCAATGTCCATACACGTTTTCACTCAAGGTTTTGTATGTACTAGCCCCACCGTTCAATACGTGTGTTCTGAATATATTTTCCATTTTCCCCTCACGACACGAAAAGAAGTGACCATTTGGCTTTATATAAAGCTCTTTTTTCTAAGGTGACATTACTATTGAATACATCGTGGGTTAGTTAGTTTAGTACTACCAGTAAAATACTTTGTTGGCAGCATACGTAACGATGCCACAACAAGTGAACAAGGACAAGGTCACAAGGACTTAGCTGCGTTATTATTCGTGGGCATGCATATATGCATGTGTTGTCTGCGCGTTACTGTCTCTGGTGTCTGCCACAAGCCTACAACCACAAGTTGACAAAGGCAGGGACGGGGCGAGCGGCAGCAGTCGAGGTAGCTAGCGCACGATGGAGAAGAGGAAGGGAGGGGAGGGGAGAGCGACCAGTCCCAAAGTCAGGCCGGGATACGCACGAGAGAACCACGCGGCACAAACGGATTTGGCCCGTATATAGTAGCGCCTTAATTAACAGAATCCACGCAGGATTTATATGGATTTACTTACATAGATGTACCACGGTAGTTGGTAGCGCAATTATATAGTTTTATATATTTCTCAACCAGAAGACATGTGCATATTACATATGATGGACAAATGATCCAAATACTAGACACCACACTGCCTTAACATACACCACACTGCCTTAAGTTGCAGGGCAATGCAAGCACAAATAAAAGCGACCTAGCTAGTTACCTCCTGCTACTTGTCCTTGTTCTTGCTCGATCGCGTATTGTACCTTTTCCTGGTTCTGGACACACCTGCTAGCTGTTTCCACGCTTGCGTTTTCCACAGTAACCGATGCACCACTGTGTACAGAGGCCCAATCTATTCTGTACTCGCTCAGCTCTGGCTGACGTGAGAAACAGTTTATTGCAATTGATTTTATTGTCTCGGCCACTTCCTGTACGCTGACATCATTTATATGGGAGAAATATGGAGGGAAACCAAAAATATGGAGGGAAAGAACGGCGGGAGACAGAAAATATAAAAAATAAATTAATAAGTTGAATTAACATTACTACTATAGAGAAAAGAATGGCGGGAGCCAGAAGAAAATAGATTATGTTAAATAAATTAGTGTTAGCATTTATACGAGATAGCCAATAAAGCAAAAAATAGTTAATGTATGTAGCGTCTAGCGTGTATATTTTTTCGTGCACATTCTTGATAACTAAAATTTAACCTTACCATGTTTGCAAGATCAGGAGTCACCCAATCCGACAAATTCAACCTAACTTGTTCCAAAACAGTTCGATCCAACCCAAGCATTTCATCGGGCTTAACAAATTAAATGAAATTAATACTTTCTATCAAGCAAATCAAGTAAATATCCGAGTGTGAATTCAAACTTTTATATTTGCATCTGAAAATATTCAAATTCATATTTAAATCCAAATTAAAATGCGGTAAAAAGAGCTATCCAAATTTGAAATAGCAGTTAGGCGTGTTTCGTTGGTGCATAATCTTGCCATACCTAACCTTACACAAGTCCACGACTACTATAATAAGCGAAACTAACAAAAATGAATCCAAGATTGTTGCAAAGTTTGGCATGGAAATGTGTTTACCACATGTGCTGAATAAGATACTCATAATTCGTTAGGTCGATGGATGAGGTTGAAGTCCAAGAGCACCATCTTCCGTGGCCGCAAGTTATCATTGAGGCACCGGCAAGTCACCCGACAACAACAACGATGTTTTTTCTCTAGCTCACCAACCAAATGAGCCAGACTTTTCGAGCTCACTCGGATAACAAGCAAAGCTGCACATAAGCTATGGTGCGACAATGTTTGGTAAGAAACAAACTTGTCCCTAAGTTAAGGGATCTAATTTTGTATTAGAAGTTTTTAAATTTTTTTAATTAGTTATCGCATAGTTGATAACACTACTATAGAAAAAAATCAGGGAGATAAACCCCTAGATTAATAAATGCGAGCATTTTGTAGTGTTGCCTTTGTAAATGATGAGGAGGGCTATAGGCACAAGCTTGACCTTGTCAATCATTTTCCAAAGCAGGGATTCTAAGTTGACCGCCTCCAAAAAAAATTCCAGGCAATTTTAATTAAGTGGGACTGTGCATCCTTCGCAAATAGAAGCATCTCTCACTTAGTCATATAACTTTGTGTGAGATGTATCCATTTGCGAACAAGGTGTTGTACCGCTTCGTTAAAATCATTTAAAAAATTTATGCATTGATTATACACCAAAATCATATTGTCATGCAAGTTTGTAGAATTTGTTCACCAAGTTTAAACATTATTACATTTATTCTATGGTAATTCAACGAATAATTGCAATAACAACTAAATTTGGTCAGGTAATTCTATAAATTGACACAACGCCATATTTTGGGTCCATGAGCATACCATAAAATTTTCAGACAATTTTAATAAAGTGGGACTATACACCTTCGCAAACATAAACATCTCTCACTTAGTCATATAACTATGTGTGAGATGTATCCATTTATGAACAATGTGTATAACTACTTTGTTAAAATCATTTGAATTTTTTATACAATTATTATACATCAAAATCATGTTGTCACTCAAGTTTGTAGATTGTTCTAAATAAGTTAAGATATTATTTCATTTATTTTATGGTAATTCAACAAATAATCACAATAATAACTAAATTTGGTCAGATAATTCTATAAACCGACACAACAACGTATTTTGGGTCCATAAACATTTCAAAAAAATCAGAAAATTTTAACAAACATTCAAGTGGTCTAGTGGCAGTGGTATCTCATGAGGCGGTCACGTTTTTGGTTCAAATCTTGATGCTGGGTGTGGGCGTCAGCCCCTTCGTGCCGAAGTAAAAATATTCGTCATATAGTCATTGGATAATGCTTCAAAAAATGCAGCGTTGGGGCATCTAACCCGTGACCTGTTGGTTTAGAACCAAGTTGGCTTACCATTGGGCTGAAAGACTTTACATGTTATAGTTGGAAGTTTATTATCCAAGTGAACACTCATAGTCTTTTTAAATTCTAATTTTGAATTTCAAAATATGTGATCTACTATTGAGAACTACACATTTGGGACTGTAATCAACTTTAAATAAAAAAACTTTTCAGCGGCAGACTTGTAGACTTTATTGAGAACTACAACTTTCTTATAGACCATGTCAACATCCAAATTTAAAATCAGTGAACTTAAAATAATATTTTGGGACTCTAAATAGTTTCAAATTGAAACCTTCTCAACTAGAAAGTTACAGATTATATTTGGAGCTACAATTTTGATATAAAGTTTGTCTTCATCTAATTTTATATGAAAAAATTATGAATTATTTTTTAAGCTAAGTCATAGATTACATTTATTTTATGCTAAAATGGAGAGAGGTTGAATTATGCCTTCAAAATAATATAACTACTTAGGACCTCTAGGGAGAAGGTGATGTTGCAAATCGGATAATTAAGGATAGAAGGAATTGAATAATAACATTCATGGAAGGACTAACTAGAATTATGGAATAGGCTGGGGTCCACAAAATTTAAAATAGTAATTGCCTCCTTCCATTAATCAATCTCTATCACGTTATTGGCTCGTTCCAAAAATCTATCATGTTTCTTTTTCACAATATAAAATTAATCACGTTTGTTTTCATTCCTTTCTCCTCTCACACGTGATTGTGTTTTTCTTTCTAAAGTTTGTTTTTCCCATAACCCTCTTCGCTATAAAACTAATCAAGTTTTTTTTTCCTATTTTCCGGAGCCCCTGTTGCCTTGTTTTCCCGCACGGCCGCGCCCTCTAGCCTTGTCACGCACGTGGACGTTGCCCACTCACTCGAAGCCAAGAAAAAAAAATCTAGAAAATTAAAAGAAAAAATGTACACCTTTAGGTAGGCTACAGTCGAACTTAAGCACAAGGTCACAAAGAACATTTTGTGTAATTTCAGCAACTAACGTTATATATACTTATATCATGGGGGGCGGGGCAGCCCAGGCAGTCACGCAGACCAGCAGGCGTGAAGTTCATCATAAAAACAGTAGTTCTCCACTTTTCAATGCGCGTATAAAATTTCAAACTAGTTTATATCACTCATATTAACTCCAAATTAGATGATTCTTTTTCCAATGTTCATTTAA